GTGTATATCCACACCGGGCAAGCTTGAAAAATATGCCTGTCCACGGTAGGAATCGAACCTACGACCTTTGGAATACTAGCCCAATGCTCTGCCAACTGAGCTACGCGGTCTGGTCGGTTCGAGTATGTGATATTTCGGAACAGAATCTAGTTCCTTCGATATCAATGTTATCTAATAATAATCATGATTTTTCTGTGTTGGTGCAATGTACTCAGTGGCTAGTCATTCCAAAGGTCGTAGGTTCGATTCCCACCGTGGTCAGGCATATTTTTCAAGCTTGCCCGGTGTGGATACACACTCAGAGTAACATCACAAGCATCATATATAGAGGATATTAGACGGTTGCGAAGAGATATGGATTTTATATGTTCGAGTGGCAAAAACAATATCTCACGAGTGAGCGCAGCGAACGAGTGAGATATTGTTTTTGACACGAGAACATAAATCCATATCTCTTCGCAACCGTTTAATGTTCTGTTTATTATATGGACTTATTCAGAGTGACAAAAATACACACAAAGACAACATGTAAATAAGCACGCGAAAGACCAGTGTAAAAGCGATATTTTTTAAAATTATAGTGCAAACATAAAACTAGAATAAATTTTACTTATCTCAAGATGTCTTTTAAATGTTTTCGTTTTATTTCCAACGTTAATTTCGTTTTAAATACGAACCAAAGACTATTTGTATTTTCAAAACAACAACAATGAAAATGGCGGGAAATTTTCGAACTTTGTATGTCACTAGCAAGCGTGAAATACGGAAAATACGCGCACCTGGCCCCGGATGTAGTGACGTATGAGTTCTAGTTTCCAGTAAAACACCATTGTCCATATAATAAATAGAGGATATTACACGGCGGCACGAAGATATGACTTTTTATCTTCGAGTGGTGAAAACAATATTTTACGAACGAGCGCAGCGAGTGAGTAACATATTGTTTTTAACACGAGAAGATAAAAGTCATATCTTCAAGCCAACGTGTAATGTTCTGTTTATTATTATATAAACATAAGTGTTATATAGAGTTTTTGGCCACTGAGAAAAATCATATTTATTATAAAAATTATATATATCATCGCATCGCCACGGACGTTTTATTGTTTTTCACTGAATTTTGTTTATATAATAAACAGAAAAATACATGGGTGCTTGGAAATACCAGATTTATCTCTCGTGTTGAACATGATATCTCACTCGTTCGCTGCGCTCACTCGCGATATATCATGTTCAACACTCGAAATAAATCTGGTATTTCCGCGCACCCATGTATTATTCTCTATTTATATAGTCCCAAGCAAAAAATTGTATAAATACTAAAAGTCACGTGATCGATATCTTCACTAGTGAAGATATGGAAAATATCTCACTGTGTATTTTTCAGTATCTCACTCTCTACTATATAATAAATACCTGTATCCTTGGTAAAATGACATCACACACTCTGTCTTCTCGTAATAATTCATCAATAAATTCATCAATATGTGTCAGCTCAAACACTGCAAACGAGTTTCAAAATACATCCAGTAGAGTACAACTAAATGTATAACTAACAATGTACGGTAAGGAAAGGTTAATGCAATGAATGGAAAAATAAATGCTTGCCATTTAATGCCTACATCTTTCCTGTTTTTTTTTTCATGCGTGCCCTTTATTACTCTCAAATAAAAACTCAATGAAAGTTTGTTTGAGCTGAACTGTATGACATCTTGTGTCAGGGGTGGATCCAGCAAGGTTTTTCTAGGAGGGTGCTGGGTGAGCAGCCGAGTGTTTCTTTATAATTCTTTAGGGGGTGGTGGGAGAGCATTCAAATGAACTGGCTTCCTAATGACTCGAGTCAGGGGTATTATGCCCCCCCCTGCAAAATTTTGAAAATTAGAAACCTAGTAATGCCATTTCCTGCGATATGGGCATGGAGTTATGAGCTTCAGTTTGACTTCAAAAAAGTTAAAACCATTATGCCATTTCTGAATTTGATTTTTGTGCAACCCCCCTTGCACCCCTGTTGACCAAGGCCAACAGGGGTGCACACCCCTGTACACCCCCCTATAAGTACACCCCTGTCTTGTGTTAATGGATGCTTATCAGGGGCATCAGAAATGCACTTGCTTAAGTGACTAGAAGTCATATATTATAAATGTTCTAAATACAAAATATCACAAGATATGTATCCATTGAATATTTACAGTATTGTGCAGAGTCATTGCTTGAGACGACAGTATCACAGAATAGATACCAGACCAGAAGTGTCACTTAGACGATATTTCGTCTGAAATTTTTAAGTGCTGACATGAAAATACGCCATCATATGACGCCATCTTGGAGTGCACACGGAAAGGTACAAAGTGCCGTGTGCACTCCAGGATGGTGTCATAGCACGTAAAAAATTTCGGACGTTTTTCCCAAGCCAAAACACATAGGCATGTCCCTTCTGGACTGGCATCTGTTCTGGGATACTGTCGTCTCAAGCAGCGACTCTGTACAGTATGTATCATAGTTGATTGATGGGAAGGCATTAGAGCATGCACCTGTTGCGTCCTATTGTTCCACAAGCGCTTGCCTTGAGGCAAATTTGAGTGTAGAAGATACAAGTTTATTGTATTAATGGCAAGTCTTATTGTATCCTGGCTTACCTTCCATTTTATTTTGCACTTTAAGTTTTCTGTAATCATTTAACAAAGGTTCAAGATAGTTGTAGACATCAAGTGAGGTTCCCACAAGTCTCATGTATATTGCACCTAAAGCACGAACATATCTAAAATCAAATTACACTTTTAGTTAGGGATGCTGGAAAATGGTTTTTTTTATTAATATCAGTAATTATCAAGGCCAGGTCAACAGTGTTTTTCTCATTTGTGAGTTCCTGTGCCATCAGAACAATAATAGTTACTCTTGAACTGTCTTTGCCAGTGTTGGTAGTGCCAATAGACTGAACAAGCTTTCGTTGGTGAGGATGAAACTACTGTACCTGGCACCTGAAAATATATAAGAATTTCAACGTTTTGAGTGCAGGCCCTTCCTCTGGAGTTATTCAAACCGTAACTCCAGGCAAAGGGCCTTTGTTCGAAACGTCGAAATTCTCCTTATATATTCTCAGGTACAGTACAGTAGTTGCATTCCTATCAACAAAAGCTTTATAAATTGTTTAATTCTTTGATTGATAAAATAACATAACATAACAAAGCAAAATAATCAAGTGCAGAAGGTACAGCAATTAAGGTGCATTGTGGCACATTTGGTGTGCACTGGAGCTCAATGGGTTAATTAAATCTCAAAATATTTATTCTCTTACTTATAGTCATCATTTTTAATAAATTCCACAACAATTTCTTTTTCTGGTTGTATTTGCAACATTTTCAAAACAAGACAGAGAAATGGTGTGGGTTTAATATTTCCACCAAATGTTCCTCCTATGTATTCCAGACCCATCGCTTTGTCAACCAATAGTTCAGCTGCAAAAATTAAAAATTATTTTTAGTTAAAGTGCACATGACCGAGGTTCAAGGAAATGAAACCAAAATCTGCTATAATATTAAAATAATACTGAATTCAATGCTGTTGGGCGGTTGGGGGGTTAAGGGACCCACGCTCATAATATGCCATGGCCACCGCGGAACGTTAATCCGGCCCTGTTCCCACGATCCGCACCCTTTATAATTATTGGCAAGTCACAGTATTTTTTTCACAAACTGTTGCACCAATTAGATTATCTCTAAAAATATCTAAATTTCGAAAATATCGATATTCGATTTTTCGAATACCAAAAATATCGAAAAAATATCAAAGGTTTTATCGAAATTATTTTCCGGTACAATCTAGGAAACATGTGTGCAGGCAAGTGTTTATCACAAAAGATCACAACTGGACACAAGCGGCAGTTGAACCCTTGAAAACAATAGCTGTGTCATGACTCATAAAGATGGAATGTTCACTTATTTGAATCAGTGTATAAAACAGTGAATAAATCTTTTTAATTAACATTCATAAAATGACCATATTGTAATAAATAAAGCTTTTGATATTCAATTAATTAGTTTCATGCAACCTTGTTTTTTCTTGCTTTTTTTATGCGGTATACATTTACTTTGCTGTTTGTGATGTGGTATATTGACTAAACTATATTTCGTAATTTTGCTATTAAATGGGTTGTTCCAGAAAAGATTAGCCTGAAAACAGACCTACGTTTCGCCCGTCCTAAAATTTGCGGGTCGACGAAGGGCAAAACGTGGGTCTGATAAAAATGTTGCAGCCTCGTACCCAGGCGCAAATAACGTACTAAAAATAGCAACACTACAGTGTTTTTATATAGATCAGTGGCTAAGATGAGCGAGCGCGCAGGGGTGCTAGGTCAGGACACGACGGGATCTTAGCCACTGATCTATATAAACACACTGTAGTGTTGCTATTTTTAGTACGTTATTTGCGCCTGGGTACGAGGCTGAAAATGTTGTCAAAAGTGCCTTCCGCCCACTTTGCATTTTCCAATTATTAATGATGATGATTGACATATTTACATGTAACACCTAAAAATACAATGAAAGTTGTCGATTCACTTTATTGAAAGTTTGTAAACAAAGTAAGAGTCGATAAGTACAGATATTTGAATAAATATTTAAAGTATTGGTAACCACAGCCTGTCCAGCTAGTAATAATACAACATTTTCAACACATTTTATAAATGCGATAAAATCTGTATACACAAATTTGGCATTATGGCCATGTCCTATTGTTGAATTGCATCGCAACTATTACAATTTATACATTTTGAAATCGCCATACAATGGAAAATCTAAATAAAATATTTTGTATGTGCTATGTTATCAAAATTTAAATCATGAATGCACACATATTTGTATCAGTTTTATTATGATTATGATTAATCACAAAACGTAGACAACTTAGATTGTGTAAAAACGGTGAAGTATTTAACATGTACTGCTCTACTTCCCTCCAGTTTTAATTTTAGACGGTAGACACCGATAGACTAGTTGTTGTTAGATATCACAAAATATTTAGAATATCACACTGTATGCATATTATATGAGTTGATTTACCGTTGAAATATATTCTGATCTTTTCAAATCTTTTCATGTTAGCGACCAACCAATCACAACCTATTTCCCTGTGAATTAGCCAATCAGCTATCCCGACCACCAGGCGGTCGGATTCCACAGCGTTTTGACAACATTTTCATCAGACCTACATTTCGCCCTTCGTCGACCAGCGAATTTTAGGACGAGTGAAACGTAGGTCTGTTTTCAGGCTAAGAAAAGTTCCACACTCTCCGGAGCGGGAGGAGAGAAAAATTGTTTCTGATAATAGTACATTTAAGGACATCCGAAGGGGGTAGGGGGTTAACTTCCAATTTCCTCCGTGGGAGATGGATATTTTCTGCAATGACCCAATTTGCATATTTTTGATATAGTCAATATCAATCTCAGGGCGCATACAGACGCATTGCGGCTTAATGAGTTAATTTTTTATATTTTTTTTTCGATATCGGTATATCAAAATTTCCCAATACCGCAACAGCCTATTCGATATCCGATATTCGACAACACTCCTACGCGTGCTTTAAATGTTAAGAATAATAAGTTCCCGCCAAATTCTATAACGCTAAATATGATTGGTTAAAGATTAATGAGATTCTCTTCTCTGATGTGTACATTCGGTCGGACATGTTTTAGAAAATCAATTCATTAAGTCTATTAAAGTTATGTTTATCTTCAAATAAATAGTTATACAATCGAAAGTGAGCGAATATTTCAATAGGTTATGGGCCCAGGACGTGTGGAATTGAATTAAAACGTGTTTATTTGTCCTGTTTGGCGGAAATTTTGGTGAAAATACTTCGAGTCTAATATGGCGGAAATTACGAAGATCGATAAGCTAAATGGCAAGAATTATCAGTCTTGGAAATACAATGTCAAGCTAGTTCTTATGGAACGTGGCCTTTGGGGCTTTACACAAGAAGGCAAAGAAATTTCTCCTGACGAAAATGCGACAAATGCTGCAAAGAATGCTTTCCATTTGCGATCAGATAAAGCCTATTCTTTGATTGCCTTAAACGTCGAGAAACACTTGCAAATACACATTTCGAGTACGACAGATCCTTTAGCAGCATGGACGAACTTGCAAAAACAATTTGAGTTTGTATCTGTTACCCAAGTCGTGCGTTTGAATCGTAAATTCTATGCAGCCACCATGGAAGAAGGTGGAGATCTTATGAAACACCTGCATGACCTATATGACATCATTGGCAGAACAACTGCGTGAAATGGAAGAAGATATATCATCAAAGAAATTCGCTACTGTGGTGCTAGGCAGTTTACCCGAATCATATGATAATCTCCTCACAAGTTTGAATGCGAGGAAAGCTGAAGAGTTGGAATGGGACAATATAAAGGGATTGTTAATAGAAGAGTATTTGAAGACAAAGGAAAAATTTGAGAGTAACAAGAGTGACAATGCATTGCTTACAAACAGGAAGTCATACATGAGCAGAGGAAGAAATTATGATCGAAGAAGACATGGTGAACATTCTAGAAATTGGACACTTGTAGACTATAAGCCATCATGGAACACCAATAAAGGTGGGGATGCATTGACACCAGTAGCACACAACGTGATGACGGAAGAGCAAGAAATATTTTATGCTTTAAGTGTAACAAAGCTGGACACATCGCCAGGAACTGTCCACTCAACAATAGAAAAGGTGGAAACAAAGGGGAACATTCGAAGCTTGCGGAAGGTGGTGGAGTAGCACTGATTTCAAGCACAGGAAATTCAAATGAATAGTATGTGGATTCAGGACCTTAATATCATCAACTACACTCAATACCAAACACCGGTGAATATTTATTTGGGTGACAATACCTGTATCAAAGCCCTGGGTGAAGGAATAGTTAAGTTATATACTCAAAATGACAATACATTCTATTTGGAGTTACACAAAGTATTGTATGTGCCGATGTTAGCAAAAAACCTATTGTCTGTGCCTGCAATGGCTTCAATGGGAACTAAAGTGTCATTCGATGACGAAAAATGTGTTGTTTCCAAAGAAGAAAAAGAATACGTGATTGGTAAATTGGTAGATGGTATGCTGTATACTGTTAATCCAGTTGAATTTGCCCATCCTACAACTGAACCCTTGGATATATGGCACCAGAGATTTGGTCATCTAAACAATGGATATGTTAATCAACTGATGAAGAATGATATGGTCACCGGAATGATGTATGATGAAAGTAAACAAGTGGAGAAAGATTGCAAAGGATGTTCAATGGGAAAGATGCATAAGAATCCCTTTCCAAAAGCAAGTCTACATAGGGCAAGCAGACCTTATGAAATCATACATACTGACATATGTGGACCAATGCAAGTTGAGTCGATTGGCGGTAGCCGTTATTTGGTCACATTTACTGATGACTATGACAGATATGCTGTTGCTTACTTTATTAAGAAGAAAGATGAAGCACTTACTAAGTTCAAGGAGTTTGTGAATTATGTTGAAAATCAAGATGGAAATCATAATAAGTGAAGATTCTGCGCAGCGACAACGGCGGTGAGTACAAATCGAACAGTTTCTCCAAATTCTGTACAGAGAATAGCATTGTCCAACAATTCACTTGTTCTTACACCCCTGAACAAAACAGTGTGGCAGAAAGATTAAACCGTACGATTTTAGAATCTGCAAGATCCATGATATATCATGCAAATTTGCCCCTAGTCTTCTGGGCTGAAGCGTGCAATACAGCCGTGTACCTACATAACCGAAGTCCTACAGTTGCATTAAAGGACAAAACCCCTCATGAATGCCTTTTCGGTGAAAAACCAGATGTTTCTAATCTTAAAGTCTTTGGATGTATGTGCTATGTTCATATCCCGGACACTAATCGTAGAAAATTAGACCAAAAGTCTTATGAAGCTATATTTGTTGGCTATCCTACTGGCACAAAAGGATACAAAGTTTATGATGTTAAAAGAAGAAAGTTGATGATAAGTCGAGATGTTCAATTCTTAGAGAAGAAATTTCATAATTTTGAGAACCCAAAGAATGACTTTGTGTTCGAGCAGCAAGAGAGAATTGAAGTTCCGGATGATGAAAAACAAACTGTTGAGTTATTTGATCTAGATAGAGTTGATGATGAACTTGATCAAACCTTCAACGAAGATCAGGATGAGTTCAGAGTTGATCCTGTTGTTGGAACAAACATTAACTTGAATGAAACCATGGAGCAGCCCGTTAATCCAGAGAACGACGAACCAGTGGGAGAAAGTGAAACCCCATCTACTTCGAAAACATACGAAGAGCGGTTTATGGAAAACGTGAAAAATTTAGGTCCCGTAAGACAGCGTATGATTCCGAGTAAGTGTGATTCCGAGAGACAATGCATGTCCAGTAGTTGAGTCTTTAACATCTGAAGTGAAGCTGTGAAGTATGGGATGTGTTTGGTGAGACACAATCAAAAAGACTCCAAAAACTCCAAAATAGAGCTGCTCGAATCATTATGAATATGAGCAATGACACAGATCATTCTGTTGCTCTGCAAGCATTGGGTTGGAAGACACTTAAAACAGAAAGAAAGAAAGGGAAAGCAAAAATAATGTACAAATTATTAAATAAAATGGGTCCCAAGTCACTCTCTAATCTTTTCACATATAAAGGTGAGAAAACAAAGTATCACCTCCGAGATATTTCAAGTGGTCTTTGTCTACCACAACCGCGTACTAATAATATGAAAAAAAGTTTCATGTATTACGGAGCACACCTATGGAATTCAATTCCAAAAGAAATTAGAGAGAGCAAATCCCTTTCTGCCTTTCGGAAAAAAATCGTTACTCACATTGACTGATTGATTAATGATTTGTAAATATATCTAAATTACTTTAACTTATTTAATACTATATATCTTATATAATTTTGTAAATAGCTTTTTAGTGTATCTGTATAGTTTGCACACGCCCCCCGTGGAAATCAGCTTCGGTTGACGGGGTCAGCGTGTTTAAATAAAGTTTTTCTATCTATCTATCTATCTAAGTTGATGATCCAGAAAGTGTCCAAAGAGCGCTGAATGGGAAGTATGCGAAGGAATGGAAAGACGCGATGATCTCAGAATATTCTTCATTACTAGAAAATGATACATGGGAATTGGTTCCTCCCTGTGATCATCAAAACGTAGTCGTATCGCGGTGGGTGCTAAAGCGGAAAGAAGATGGATCAATTGATCGTTTCAAAGCGAGAGTTGTAGCTCAAGGAAACTCCCAAACAAAAGGAGCTGATTATGACGAAGTATTTTCCCCCGTGGCCAGACATACATCTTTACGTACATTACTGGCATTAGCCAACGAATATGATCTCGAAGTCCACCAAATGGATGTTCGAACTGCTTTTTTAAATGGCGACATTGATTGCGACATTTATATGGAACAACCGGAAGGTTTTGTTGATCCAGGCAAACCAGATTATCTTTGTAAGCTGCAGAAAAGTATCTACGGTCTCAAACAGTCTGCACGCTGTTGGAATGACACGCTCGATGGATACTTAAAGTCGAGAGGATACAGAAAAAGTGTGCAGATGGTTGCATTTATGTTAAATCGGTTAAAAAGGACGGTGGTCGAATAAGTTTTGTGATACTCAGAGTTTACGTGGACGATATAATTCCAGTTTCCAACGATATCCAAATGCTGAATTCAGAGAAGAAAGCGCTCAGCGAAAGATTTAAGATGGATGACAGAGGTGAAGTTCATTACCTATTGAGAATGCTGATTAAACGAGATCGAGAAGCCAGAGTTACTACAATCAGTCAGCGTAATTACGTGGAACGAGTCCTAAGCAAATTCGGAATAGAATCATGTAAACCGGTTTCAACACCACTGGAACCTGCGACAAAGTTTTCAGAGTTGTCAAATGACGATGAAAAAGTTGACACACAAACATACCAGCAAGCGATGGGATGCCTAACCTATCTTTCAGTGATTTCAAGACCAGATATCTCAGCTGCAGTGGGAGCACTTTCACAATTTATGGCAAAACCTAGCAAAGATCATTGGATCGGAGTGAAACGTGTATTAGGATATCTTAAAGGAACTTTAGATTATGGCCTGAAATACTCAGCAGATGAAAACCCTACACTAGTCGGTTATTCAGACTCTGACTGGGCAGGAGATATTAATACTAGTCTGGTAGATCAACATCAGGTTATGTATTTCAAGTTGCTAATAGCACAGTTAGTTGGTCGAGCAAAAGGCAGAGGACAGTCGCGAAGAGTTCAACAGAAGCAGAATATATTGCCTTAAGTTTAGCCGCGCAAGAAGCAATATGGTTACAAAGACTGTTATATGACGTTGGATTTAAAATCAGAAAACCGATAACAATCTTCGAAGACAACCAAGGAACAATAGAATTGGCGAAGAATGCCAAATATCATAATAGAACAAAACATATTGACATTTGCCATCATTTCGTTCGTGAACGCGTTCAGTCGAAGGAGATCAATGTAGTATATTGTTGAACAGATGATATGAAAGCGGACATGTTTTTAGAAAATCAATTCATATTATTAAAGTTATGTTTATCTTCAAATAAATAGTTAATTTAATTATACAATCGAAAGTGAGCAAATATTTCAATATTAAATAGTACTTATATAAACTCTGTCTTGACGTCTTTGTCCAGTATATTACCTGTGTTACAGTTATATTACCTGTGTTACCGAAATACAATTGTTGTATGAATGTTGTTGAAGTTGATTTTTGTTCATCGCTATATAACAAAACACTTAATGCCTGTTCCCTCGGGAAATAGTTAGTTTTGTTTTCCCTCAAATCTTAATGTTTCCCTCGACTTCATCTTGGGAAACATTGAGATTCTCGGGAAACATTGAGATTCCCTCGGGAGCAGACATTAAGTGTATATTAACATCTGACTGTGCAAAAATTATGGCTCTGGGGTCGGTTCTACAAAGGCCGGATAGCGCTATCCACCGGATTGTGATTTTTTCAACCTTTGAAAAAATGCTTGAAAAACTGTGAAACTACGGATATAGACGACATAAGAAGTATGAAAAACATTTAACTTATAAATACTAAACTTTAATATGAGTTACACCAATCAACGACTGATTTAAAACAAAGCTTGAAAAATCACTATCCGGTGGATAGCGCTATCCGGCCTTCGTACAACCGGCCCCTGGTCTGGCAGCGCAAATTTTTGTTGGGGCCTGGGTTAGGGGCCGTCGACTTGGGCCGCGATTGTTTGAACCCCCTCCCCCCCCCCTACCTCATCGCGGACAAGTAAAAACCTCAAAGAGAATCGAAATTATGGTCCAAAATTTTATCCGAAATATGACTGTGAGCGGTCTACTATAGGCAAGAATACAGTATGTAATGCTGACTTTTAACATTACAATCAGCTTCTAATAAATAAAAACTAGTTTCCGTATTGTTTAGCAGTTGTAAGCAACATAAAATTTAAATAAATACCCGATTTGTTGTCCACAAATGCAATATTTACGATTGAACGAAAGAAAGGTTGTGTCGAACTGCGAACTTTATAGTCAGAAAAGTCAACACAAAATATTCGGCCGTGATCAATTATTCCAGCGGCAACACATCAAATCGGAATTAAACGTAATGGGTTCGGGCATAGGTTATGTACTTCGAAATGTAAAATATATCAAACGAAGTATTGTTGTTGAGCTGTGTCCGCTTTTTGCCTCCGAACTTTTTGTGAGTATATTATTTAAAATGTACTACATTTTCTTCTGATCTTCGTATTATATTTCTAAAGTCATTTTCATCCCAAATATTTTGTAATCGCAGATTCTAATCTACCCCCCTCCCCCCATCGCGGCCCAAGTCCACAATGCGGGACGAAATCTATTTGTCAACGGTCCCTTAGTTGTGGATTCAGGTAATAAAATTTATTGTGTAAAACAGCAAGGATGTTTATGTACACATATGGTAATATTATGTCAGCAAAAAGTAGTCAAACATTGGGATCCAGTGTCAGATGAATAACCACAGCATTTTTTTTTACCACTGGCCAACTACAGTTTGCAATCAATGAATTTATAAATGTTTACACTTTTACCATAGGTATCCAAGCCTCTCAAATGGAACTCCCAAATCTATAGACTCTATAAGCTACTACTGTAAGCCAGCAAACTATACACTGTACAGTAGCTACAAAAGTATGGTTAGTCTGCTCAGCAGACAGGGGGCCATTCCATTTAATATACACACCCCCCTATGGATGAGGTCTGATAGTTTTGAGACCCCTCAGAAATCAACTGCGGTTCGACACGCCTACCCTTAAGAAATGGGATTTTCATAGACAACCGTCCGAATTTTTTTTCCAAACGGTCATACTCATCAGAAATTCCTATGGATGAGGTTGCTATTTTTCTGACCCCTCAGAAATTGCCATTTATGAAAAGCGACCCCTAAGAAATTTACATACAAAATATTAACCCCTCAGAAACAAAGCTTTTGAGAGCCAACCCCTCACAATTTTAGAGGGTTTCTACAATAATTATAAACCCAACCTCTGGCGAATATAGAATAAAGCCATCTATTTGTGTTTTTGACACGTTTAATATCTGGTATTTTTTTAATAATACGTTTGATTGTTTAGATGTGCACGATTCCCCAGAAATTCGTCGTCCTGGTGGACAAACCTTAACGTTATAAACGTCAAGAAATTTTAGTAAATTAGAGATGACCCTTAAGAAATTTTAATAATTTACAGGCAACCCTTAAGAATTTTGTCAAAATTCAGACAACCCCTCAGAAAACCTCATCCATAGGGGGGGGGTGTGTATATTAAATGGAATGGCCCAGGGCTACTCTCAAATATATATTTATTATATTATTTATATAAAATAAAATCTACTTGGATCTCCATATGATGACTTACCACTCAAAGCAAAACATTGTTCTTTCCAATATTTCGATTCATATATTCGAGTTCTGACAATCTTTTCAACCAAATATTGCGGGTTTGTTCCTTTTACAGACTTCGCATCTGTCACTGTTCTGTTCGCCATCTTGGATCTGTTTCAGTGCTTCCACAACATGCAAAGAAAATTCCGCTTCTTGATTTTCAACTTCTTTCATTTACGTCGCAATGTCACGTGATCGTCATGAACCTTTATTCTGTCACAGAATAAAGATAGGTCCTTTAATATCTATCGAATAAACCAAATGTTATAACTCATAGCAATATGTATTGTTAAAAGCAATGCATGCCATGAGGCTAGAAAACTCAACGTTAACTATTATTACAGACCTCTCAACTTTGCAGAGAAGTTAAGAGTGAGATTGGGGACACCGGAAGGAAAAAATTAGGGGGCCGAAAAGACTAGTACCGAAAAAATTTTTTCCGGAAAAATTATTTCGGCGACCCCCCCCCCCCCACCCCGTCGCCAAAAAAATTTCGGTCAGTGTACCATTTTAGGGCTCAAAAAAATTTTCCGGACAACCAATATTTTTCCGAACATACACAAAATTTTCGAAAAATCACAAAATTTGCCAAAAAATGGACTTAATTTTAGACAAAATTTACAGAATTTGTCACATTTTTTTTTATTGCAAGCCAAAATTGCCCGACTGTTGATCGAATATTGCCCGACTGCCCAAAACGCCTATGCAGATATACCAAAATTTTTATGCGTTAGATTTACTAAACGTGGCGTGAGAGAGAGCGTGAGACTGAAGCGAATTGCGTGAGACCAGGGCGCTATAAAACACGGGCGGTGAAACGGAGATAGCGCCCCTGATCTTTGTGTGATGCGCGTACCCCCCGTATACATTAATTTAATGTCAATAAAAATGGAATTGGAATGTTTATGCAAAAAAGAGCTGAAAAAACTAAAGTAAAAACTGTTTTCTGCACATTCCTAAACAACTTGATGGTTTGAAGACATTGTTGAATTCATTTTCTGTATATCTGATGAAGGAAAGAGGGCTTTAAAAAGATTCATCATGAGTGAAATAAAAATTTGAAAAGGAATCGAGCTGATCGAATGTGGGCATACTCCAAAAATATTATACGAAAATTTTGGTATGAAATGGGATATTTTACTTCATAATGCGAAGGTAGGATAAACATTTTCACAGTAAGAATATTCTGACATTGCTTGGCTATTATTTTTCAATAATTATATAGCCAAAAATTGACCATGCATGCATTTAAAACAGCTAGAATTTGAAAAAAACAACTACAATTTGTTCGAACAATTTGAAAACTTAAATATATAACCGTTTTTGTGTTAACCATGAGCCGGCCTGCTCGGAATCCATTGAAAGTTCATTGTAAAGTGTTTTTTACTAATTGATTTGATTTCTATTATTGGTATAACTAACTGCCGCCGACACTCCAAAAATATTCAGTGTGAATCTTTTTTCGTGCGACTGCAGTCGTTGACATTTAATACAGTGACAGTGTTACGGAAAACTATAAAGGCTGCAAAATACCTCCATTTTATGAAAAAAGCACAAAAAAGCCCCGTTCAATTTTACGTGAGACATAAAGCCAAGTTAAATGTCTAAAGTTTGGTGTGTTCAAATTTATCTCAACCTATCTCAACGAGGAGAAAACACTATTTTAAATACGTCCGCGCTTTGTCAAAAAAGAAAAAATGTCGTCAAAATCGAGTTCAAAATGCATGTCTTTTCCTCAACAATCGCTTCGTTCATTTTGCAAGTGAAATAGATACCAATTCTAGCAATATAAGCTGATACTAGATACTTCAATAAACATTTATAGTATGTATTTGCCAGGGTGGAAAGTTTGTAGGTTGCGCCAGGGCGTAGTAAAACACGGTCCTTTCTCAAAACGTAAACATGGCCGCATTCTCTCGGCAGTTTGTCGAGCTGACATGCTGAAATTCAAGGCTAAAAAAATATGTTTTGACGAAAAAGTCTGTCTTCTTTTAAAAAATTTCTGATATATTATGACTTGATTTCAGTTTTTTAGGGGATGTTTCACACCTAGGAAAAAAACTACATGCAAAAATACAATTTTTCCGCGGTTCTTTTTCAAAACGTAAACATGGCCGTATTCTCTCGGCAGTTTGTCGAGCTGACATGTTGGAATTCAAGGCTAAAAAAATATGTTTCGACGAAAAAGTCTGTCTTCTTTTGATAAATTTCCGATATATTATGACTCGATTTCAGTTTGTACAATTTTTTAGGGGATGTTTCACACCTAGGAAAAAAACTACACGCAAAAATACAATTTTTCCGCGGTTCTTTTTCAAAACGTAAACATGGCCGCATCCTCGGCAGTTTGTCGAGCTGACATGCTGAAATTCAAGGCTAAAAAAATATGTTTTGATGAAAAAGTCTGTCTTCTTTTAAAAACTTTCTGATATATTATGACTTGATTTCAGTTTTTACAATTTTTTAGGGGATGTTTCACACCTAGGAAAAAAACTACATGCAAAAATACAATTTTTCCGCGGTTCTTTTTCAAAACGTAAACATGGCCTCTAAAATGGCCATATACGCTGTACTTTATCGAGCTGACATGATCTATATATTGTTTTTGAAACTAATTGTTTTTGAACTAATTATGTCTTTGACGGCTAGGGGAATGTTATTTGTATCTAAAATCAAATATTGTGGCAATATAATTAGATTGAACAATATTTAAAATGTTCCGCTTGATATTTTAAAAACTTTCGTGTTAACTTGCGTTGCTTCTCCTTGCGATACAAATGATGAACAGCACTATGTTCAGGGAAAAAAGTTATAGCAAAAAAAGTCCAAAAAAGTCCGACTCTTAATTTTAATTATTCTCAAGTATGTTAATTTGGGAAACTTTTTGTGCTATCAAATTCACCTAGGACTACCTAGAGCGTTAAAAAACTCGTATTAAAACCTGACTTTGTGCGCAAAAATAACAAATTTTGAAGGGAACAAAAATCAAAACATTTCTTAAAACATTGACATTTTACAACGCAATGCGCTTTTTGTTTATTTTAATTAAGTAAAGCTGAAGTATAATAGTGTTTCTTTCAAATTACGTTAAATAATTATGTAATAATTTAAAACTTACCTATATTTTCGTTTGTTATTTCGTAGTCTTCGGCAAATCTTTTTGTTGCCATTTTTGTGCCGTTCTTTTTGTATTTCTCGCAAAACGCGCTTTCGCCAGTCTCCAGCCGCATCACACATAGATCAGCGCGATTACCGCGCGTTTCCTCGCCCGTGTTTTACTACGCCCTGGTGAGACCACTGAGCTGTATAATAACTGGAGGACCTGCTCCTATCTCTCGTCAGTCAAAAAAGTGTCGCCAAAAACATGGCGGATTTTGACGCCATATGACGCCATTTCCATGGCAACTGGTCCGAAAACCTCATGGTAGTTACCACTGACCAGGCTCAATTCTGAGCCCACGGCCGTTTTCACACCCCCCTGGTTTTTTGCAAAAGATTTGGTTTTTGCCATTTAGTTCACTGGTTTTTGCAGATAAATATTTATAGTTCTCGTTGTTTTAAATCTTTTGTTTAAATTTTGAGATATATTTACTACCTTTGACCATTTGGTTAAAGGTATGCAAGTCGTACGTGTTAATCTCGCCCGCGAAACCTAAACAAAACCTCGAGAAATGTGGGAAAAGAGTATTAAAGACGATACTTGAGTCGGGTAAAAGGTAGGAGATGTCTAGTCAATTTTACTCATTCTTTATCTTATTTGACATGAAATTGGTAAGCCTAACGATGAAATACACTTCATTTGTTAAGAAAACAAGCTTTCAGCTTTCTACAGTCCAAATTTCATATTGTAAGGTGTAAAATTTCCCATTATTTTAGATTTTTAACAAGCTGTATTCACAAATATTTAGTTCTATGTAAACAACACAGATTTGATATTCACAAATTTGTACGATATATACTGTCTAAACTCACTAAAGTGCAAACTATCTTGTGTAATAATGTTAAAAAGGTTGACTGCAGAGACCTGAGGTCTCGTTTTATTACTTTTATAAACATACACTTGATGAAACTATGTGTTTGTGGTTTGTGTTTTTAAAATATGCATCAACATAGGCGTACCGGGCGGGGGGGCGGGGGGGGCGGCAGCCCCCCCAGTTTTTTGGGCAGTCGGGCAATATTCGATGAACAGTCGGGCAATTTTGGCTTGCAATAAAAAAAAATGTGACAAATTCTGTAAATTTTGTCTAAAATTAAGTCAATTTGTTGGCAAATTTTGAGATTTTTCGAAAATTTTGTGTATGTTGCGAAAAATTGGTTGTCCGGAAAATTTTTTTGACCCCTAAAATGGTACACTGACCGAAATTTTTTTGGCAACGGGGGGGGG